AAGATCATAGTTTGATGGCATAAAAGACTCTGAGACACTCTTAATATCAGATAACTGTAATATTTTAGTTGCAGGAGTCTCTGCTTCCTTCTGCTTCTCGAAAGTTAACATCGGCACAACTCCAAACTTTCCGAGAACTTCCGATGACGGTCGTCTTTTCACACGCGGAATAACTCGATCTGGCAACACAGAAGTGCGTGGAGTAAGGCAATGGATACCACCCATTGCGTGGAAAGTGTGTAAACCATCTATGGTCTGGGAATTAAAATCGGCATTATCAAACACGAATTGTGAAAAATTTCTTTTTTCATCGACACGAATTGGGTCGCGCATCATTGCGGAAACTTCAAAATTCAATACGTCATGATAAGTTGCGCAGAGTCCGAGGGAGCTTAATATGTCAATTAATTTTCTTGAAGCAAATTTTTTGTAAATAAATGCTGCAATCCCTGTTAGCAAAGCCGATATAAAACTTCTAGGTCTCGCTGCAGATATAATACAATGAGCAATTGACGTGCAAATCCTCTGCCACTTGCTTTTATTTTTGCTCTTTTTGTGGAGAATTACAGTTTCAAGAAAAATTTTCAAAGATTCAGGAATGACTTGATTTACATCATCGAGAAAACGATCAGAGGGAGGATAATTTTCTGTATCACAGACAACAGAGCGAATGTCCTCCAAGATTATTTTTGCAGCAGCTTGTATGACACGTATTCTCTCTTCCTGTTCAGAATTGGCCTTATTTTCGTACCATGCTTTAGTTAAAATTTGTCCTCCTGTATTAAGGAAACAAACCACTGACGGTTTGTTTGCCTGCTCTGTTATGATTATATCATTTTGATACTTTTCTTTTAAATTTGCTTTGACAGTTCTCACATCAGGTAAGGTTTCAGTTTTTATCTGACCCATCAACTCTGTCATAGAAAATTGACAGTCCTCTGCATTTTCCTCAAGATAAGTATACACATAATGCATTGCGTCACTTACGTCTCGCCCGCGCTTAACAGTTCCTGAGGGCTCTTGAGATTTTGGATAATGATACAGCTTATTCATGCAATTGTAATGATATTGGCCATCATCCGCCACAAGGTCCTTTGTTTTTTCCAATCGGGCCACAATCTCATTGCCCCAATCATCTCCACGAGCTGTTGCGACACTCATTACTTGTTCACGAACCCCCATTTTTGTCACCAAATACACTTTCTGCCGACAGCTCGATTTCGCGCGTTTTTGAGCTTGCAGAAATTCCTCGGTTATTACTTCCCCACACAGAAAACAAGAATTTTTAAAGGCGAAAGTTGGAGCATCAGACCGCAGCGTGGGTGATTCGCGACGCCTATCCTCTATTATTCTTTTAATGGCAGCTGCAATGTTTTTATTGCTCGTGTACGATTTTCTACATGGTTCGTGCACTGTTATTTCACTCACTTCACCACTTAAAAACATATTTTTAAAGCCATCTTGACGTTTTGAGCTAGCCTCGCGAAAAGTTTCGATGCCGCGTTGTTTTACAGTTGTCACTTCGCCACTCTGAAGGGATTGTTTACAAATAAAACAAGTTGTTTTAGCATCAAAAGCCATGACTGATAAGTTTCAGTTCACTTTCATAGTCAAAACACTGTAATCCAATGCTTAGCGATTAAGCTCGCACAATTCACACCACACTGATCGCGAATCCAGTGTTCATGGTTCCTTCAGAGTAAAATAACATAAGAATAATCGCCGCGCGGCAAATGAGCGACAAATCATCATGGGATGTCGAGTCGCAACTGATAACAGAGGAGACGGGATCGCAGAATATGGCGCGCGGGGGCTGGGGGATCAAGGGGCTGAAAACCAAGGTCGCGCGCGGGGGCTGGAAGATAAGCAGCCGGAAAAAAGGTCTCCACATGTTGGCCACTTTTGTTGTCAAGTCATCAATGAGCCCCATGCATACAGCAGCTAAACGGAAAAATCCTCTATTTTCTGTCATTTTGCCATCGAAGCAGTAGCAGATATTCAACGAAATAACAAAGTGCTCGACGCTTGCGTTTCCTCTGCCGACTCAGTTCTTCTCCTCATATTTTGTGAGGGGGAGGGTGGGGTCAATGGTGATATTCTGACATTTTAAAACTACTAAAACTGCAAAATAGCGTTTCGTCGGATAAAAATGCAGTGGAAATGATTGTACGCTGTTCTTTGAGGGAGCGTGGGGGGAGGGGTGGGGGCTGGGAGAAGGGATGCCAAAAGGGGTGAAATCTGTAATTTTACTAATTATAAGCGAGATGTAATGCCTTAAAGCAAAATTAAACGTTAGGGAAACCATAAAACGGTCCTTATAAGGTAGAACCGTGATGCGGCGCTACAGCCGATTTCGGCCGTGCGAGTCTCCGACTTCAAGCGCTCCTAGTTCCTGTTAAAAGTATCGCTAGTGTAAAAACTAAGAGTGATTCTGGTAGCATTTTTTGTCTACTTTAATTTCTGTGGTAACCATTTTTCCCGAAAAACCGCTAAGAAAAAAGATATTTGAGAAAACCGCAAAAAATTGCGATTTTTTCAAATTTCCCGCTATTTTCAGCGCGCTCTGGCGGATGGTATACGCATGTTATCATAATTTTGATACATGATTCTAAACCAAAATTTTATGTACTTTCATTCTGCAAATAACTCATTTTGCCGTCCGACGCACAGGGAACGAGTTATTAGCGATTTTTGGACAAAAAATGAGATTTGGCAACGTTTTTTCAAGATGGCGGCTTTAGCGGCAAAAATCGAAGGTAGCAAAGTTCAGATTCGGATTCAGCGCTAAAAAACACATAGGAAACATGTGTCAGAAAGTTTTTCGCAAAATTTGCAAGGTAAAATCGTAGATTGACTGGACTACTGTTGGACCGTGCATTTTGTGGCCCACCTTGTATCTATGAGTCATACAAACGGACTGCCCTATAAACAACATTAATTGGAGGAGATTCACCTGCTGCGGTTGCTGCGAACATTACAGAAATCGCAGTATTTGTATGATCCATGATTCTCTCTGCATGTTGGGTGGAACGTCGCACTACGACTTTGGTTTTCTTTGGACCATCTTGAAAATTTTTTAAGGCTTTCCTTTTCAATTTGTGTAGAAATTGAGGAAGAGAACAAGAGTCAACCAGAGTGTGATTCTTTGTGCTGCTTCTGAAAAGAAGAAGAGAAAAAATGTAGTGGTTAACATTTTTTTTATATTCTAGGTATAAAAGAGGTCAGCACCTACAGCTTTCAGGCTTTAGAGGAAAAGAGAAAGAACCTTCTTGACTCCATTTCTTTAAAATTTTGATTGAATTTAATGAGTTATATGTATGGAGAAAAGTTGAATTTCGCAACTTTTACTTTTTTCAATTTATATTTTCCATTTAAAATACACAGAATGGGAAACAAGAGTGATAGAGGTTGACCGTGAATGACGAATGTGAATTAGGTTAGAATGACAGTTAATTTAACATACGATTTTTAATGTATAGGTGGGGAGAGACTTGTCTTCATACCCCTCCCCCCCCTTCCCTGAACTTCCCCAAAATTTAGTGCTGACACTATGGTTGCTCTTGGTGAAGGCCTCTATGAATTGTGACTTCCTCAGAAACTGCCTCCTCTAGTCTGTCGAGAAGCCTGTCTCTGGCCATTATCTCGTGACACAGTGGGCACCTTTTCCTGCTTTCTCGGCTTTAGCAAAGCAAGCATTAGACATGATTATGCTTACAGGACCAAAATGGCGCTGTTGTTGTGCGGAGGCACCTGATGCATCGTGCTAATGCCAGGAACAACCCTGTTACTCTCCTCTGGTTGACATCTATAAAAGCAAGCAGAACGTCATACAGAAGGGATTAGGGGTAATGGATAGAGGAGAATGAAGAGAGATAGAAAACACATTAAAGGATGGGGGATGGCAGGCTTCTTTTTTTTAATGGTAAAAAGTTACATCCTCCCAACTCTGAGGAGGAGCACGGGCGGGCGTCACGTAAACATAATCCAAGTTCGGTTAACCATAAAACTCCGATGCTAATTAAGGGCGGGCAGAAGGGTTGCTGAGTGCTGATATAGATACAGAGGGCGTGGGTAGAGTCGAAAGGGATGACTGGGGAGATTTTGGAGTTTAAGGAGAGTTTCTTTCCTGCATACTTGATTTTGACCTGACATTTTTTCTGAAATAAGGTGTCACCCGATGAAGTTTCAGTAACCGGCAGAGGTAATAATGTCACCAGTGGTGGATGGAAGATCCTGTAGAAAGTGCGGACATCTACTACCCGTGGGTGACCGTGTGTCCCAGGGTGAAGTTGAGTAACTCTTCCTAACTTCCATCGTAAAGGGGGGGGGGGTTAGAGGTATTAAACACTACCACAAGTTGTCCCTGCTTTAGAAAATCCTTCTTCTCCCACCATTTTCCCCTTGGTAGTAAGGTATGCAGATACTCTACATGCTACCTTTGCCAAAACTGCCGAGTTAACAATTTAGCCAACTGTCATCTTCCGAGAAGAGGACCATGTTGAACCAGAGCTAACAGAACTGAACGTCTCTGTAAAAAGCAACAGAATCTGCAGTATACCATACGAATTGGATGAACATGCTAATAGAATCAGTAACTTGCAGGCTTGTATAAACGCACATCCTGCTTACGGGGCTCACTAACCTTATGAAGCACAGACCTTTCTTGGGAAACATTCAAACATGATGTTTAGAACTTAGCAGTATATCTTGAATGCTACCCACAGTCTCATAGTGGGACAAAGAAGATTTCCTATTACTGGGTCCTGGTCGTACAGAGGTGAGATTTTAATCAATTACGACTATTTGACATTCCTTGTTTTTTTTTTCCTTTTTAAAACGAAGAAGTATTGATCAAGACGTGACCAAACTTTAAATACTAGAATGGTATCGATAATTAAGGAGGAACAGTTGATGAGGAAAGAAAGCAAAACCAAAAAGTTTATAGTCCAGGATGAACTTGCAACCTTATCAACATTCCTTTTTTCTCCACCTGTTCCTAGCCCAAAAAGAAGGAAAAATTCAACGTCTCCACCTGCCGGATTTTCGAACCTTCCTTGCAACAATGCAGCAAACGCACCCGAAAACAACTTTACAAAAGAAAGGATTTTCAGTCGAATTTTAGATGTAAGATATGCGCAAGTGGTAAAGCACACGATCCCAGCACATCTGAATTGTCAGAGCGTAAGTCGATTTTCAACAACGATTTTGGGAGTGATAAGCCAATAGAAACGGGTCCAGATGAGCGCTTCTTTGAGCTTTCTCAGCAATCTAGGCTGGAAACGTAAAAGTTGACTGAAAATGCAAATCATCTGATAGTAGGAGATGGAAGAACTTTAAGTAACAGTCAAATGCCTTTTTCACTCAGTGGGGAATCCTTGTCAGTCCGTAAGTCAGTTTTTGAATGTCAATGTTGGCGATGGAAACAAAGATACAATGGGTCCAGATGGTGAGTGCTTGTGTGAGTTATCTATGCAACAAGAATTGGAGCTGATAGAACTGGGATGCTCAGGAAAAAATCCCATTTACACGGTATATGAAATAACTTCATGTGACCATGAGGTAAATGTGAGTCCTCCTAAAACACATCACTCAGGAACATCTGAATTGTCAGTCGATATCTCAGTTTTAAGCAACAATGTTGACACGGAAAAGCCATCAAAAGTGAGTCAGGATGGGCGCTTTTTTGAGCTTTCTCAGCAACAAAAGCTAAAACTGATGCGATCTAGGGAACACAAATTGAATATTCTTTGGAGGGATGTGGTCGATATGCAATTAAAAAGTCCTTGCTACTAAAGAGGTGTGACGGCTTTTAACCTCACCTTGAGTTGCAACGTTTCAGTCGAATTTACACGCGCTACATAATTAGAAAATCTACTTAATTACTCTTCGTACTTGATCCTTGTCGAAGTTAGCGTCATCGGCCATGAGGGGCGAGTTGGTTTTCTTATCTCGTTTGTTGTTAAACTTGTACTTGGATACGATCTTCTGTGACAGTTTTTATGCCTCTTCTCCTGTTTGGAAGATTTTAAGCCCAGTTGATCAGTAGAATAGTATAAGTTAAGTTTTTCCACTTTGAATGGAAAAAAGTGGCAACTGCGCCAGAGCAAATAATTGCTCGACAAAGAATAACAACGCAGTTTGATCACACCATGATTTATTCGACGAAATAGGGATTGCAACTGATATATCAGGAAGTACACGAAAATGACACAGAGGGAGCTGGGACCTAACAAAAGGATCGGAGAGACAACGATTAAAGTTAGGAGCGGGTGACAATCAATTTATATCAAAGTTTCTCTGGGGCTGTGTGCGTCATTGGAACCAGCGAGGGGAGCAAAAGTGCTGAATTATCTTTTGATTGCCATCATGGAAAAAAGGGTCTAAATTAGTAACGCTAAGCAATTTTGCATGTTTTCCAAAATTTGATCCTCGATCTGTAACATAGACTTTGACCTGTAAACCTATTTCCGCAAGCTTCTTAATAGCCATTTCGGCTATTTCTTTTGACTGGTAAGCTGAGAAAGCATCGCTAACAAAGGAAAAAGCTAGTGGTTGTTTCCATTTCTGCTTGATCCCAGAGGTCATCAAGACTAGTGCATGGGTTGCAGTTCGAAAACTTTTGATTATGCCTATATCATGAAAGCCTACAATTTCGTCTTTAGTATGATTATAAAATACATTTGACTGTAAACTTATTTCATCAGCGCCCTAAACGCACCTACGCTCATCTTGTGGCATGGCAGCAACTTCTGTTTCGAGGGCAGCAAAAATGTTCTCGTTAAATCCTGGCTTGATTTTTCATTTCTGTGTCATCCTGCGTAGACAGCAGACCGAGAGCAAAGTCACGATTTGCTTTTAAAGTCTCTATGATTTCGGACTCATATATAAGATTGCCAATGCAAACTTCTTCAATTGCGTAGAATACCTAAGGCCTTTTGCTTTTTTTATCCTTTGGTTTCTGATCGTTCCGCATAAAAAGCCGTGCTTGCTCTTGGACTAATGCAGAAAAAGGTTTAGGTAGAATCTTGTCGCAAAGAGAATCAAACTGGGCTAGATCTTTTCTTGATTTTTTTGCTGCACTTTCCAGTTTGAGGATTCTCTTGTTTCTGTATTTTATTTGACGTCTATTTGTTACATTTTCCTGTCTCAATTTTTTCTTACCAGGAGTGTTTGATGATAGAGATTCCTCTGTCTGCCTTGCAGCGTCGCAAAATTTTTCTCGGAACATGGAGTGGCTACAAAGCCACTGTCACTGTCACTATTGGGAGAAGACAAAACTGATGATGATGTAGCATTACTATCAAGTGAAGAGGGAGAACAGCTGTTTGGGAGGGTTGAATTTTTTCGGACTTCGACGGATGGATGATCAGCATCATTATTGCTGGATGAAGACGGAGTGCTGGTATGGTCCAAGTGGTTCAGCTTCTTTGACGTGAACAATGTACATTAAATGATAGTTTTCTTTTACTCAAGATTATGCAACTAAAGGGGAAAGGATTATTAAGAGCAGTTGATGAAAGGTGGGGAGTAAATGATGAATCACAGTTGATATCTCCATCAATAGATATGTGCTGCTCTCTGGAGTATACTTGCCCATCAAGAACTACTTCTGAGCTGACTCAGTTGTCCATTGGGCTGATATTCAAAGAAATAGAAGGAGTGGTAGACTTACGGTCAATATCTGCTCCAATCAATGTGTCCTGCCTGCTGACAAATATTTGTGCTTCGTTGTTGGTTTCCGCATTGGCTAGGTTGCTTGAAGGACTTGTTTGTAGCAAGATTGAAGGGGTGGTTCTTTAGATAGAAGAAAAGGACGTCGATTGATTATGAAAGAATTTTGTTGGGATGGCATCGGAGTTGAGGCGTATATTCCCCAATCTCTCACATGTAAGAAACATGGACTCATCAAAATGCTTGCTGCATATTTTGCAATTGTTGTATGGGTTAAGCTGAGGTTTAAGTCTTAGATTGTACCGTTTGGTTTTTTCTATTCATGTAGAGAGTCTGAAACAGGACAACATACATACTGTTAAACAATATGCCCAGTCTGACAATTTTAAAGGAAGGAAGATGGTCACTTTGAAAAAAAAAAATTAAAGAGAGCCAATTCCTGCAAAGAACTAAATCCCAAATGGTCTAATATTTTTTCTGATTCTTATCCCATGCTCTAAGTTTCCCGAATGTACCACAAACCATATATAATACCCACAATACCACTGAATCCTGTATTTACCACCGACAGCGGGAGATATTTAGGAGAGATCCGACAGGGTTGGGACACTCTTTTTTGGATGCTTTTAGGAAGCTCAAAAGCCATTTTTTTTAAAAAAAAATGTCAAGCACGTACATTCTGAGTTAAGACCAAAAGTTAACTATTATTTAAGGTTTTTTAAAAATTGATTAAAAACTAAACCTTCAGGAATGTTTTTTTTTTTTTTTTTAAATTCCAAGTGTCCCAACCCTAACACCCCTGTTAGGGTTGGAACAGACATTAGAGAGGGTTGGGATATGACACCATTAACCACAGGTTAAAGATTTAAACAACTGTATTATCTTTAAGAAACAAGTCATAATGAATTTAAAGAAAGAAAAGAGAAAATACGGAGTAAGTAAGAGTAATAAATTGTACAAAAGGTATGAAAGTAACGTATAAAAACTAAAAAAAAAAAAACTTAGGTTTTTTTTAATAAAAATTTTGGTTTTCAGCCTTTCCCTTTACTTAATAGTAAAAACATTGGACAGTTTATGAGAGTAAACTTGTGCCTAGATACCTACCTATCGAATAATAGAAAATAAGATAGGAACAATTTTTCATTTTGGAAAAATTAAGAGGAACAACATTTTTTGAAAAATTGGAGGTTTTTTGGAAAAATTGAGAGCATTTAGCTCGGTGCAAACTATTACCAAAATAGTCAAGTATTTACCTACTTTATTCACTAATAGTCATGGAAACTCTTCACCATACCTACTTTATCCTGTACTAGGTACACTAAATAAAGAAATGAAAAAAGTTAAGGCAGCACCTAGGTATTAAATTACCTAATTTCTAATTAATTTTAATAAGCAGGTAGGTAATATCGTTTGTTACACACATAATGCTCTTTAAGTTTGGTAACTATTTTGAAAAAAGGCCGTAGATACCTAGGTAACTATGTCTTTGGAAGGTAAGCCATACCTACCTAATTTCCTAGGACTAACCTAACGCCGAAACCAATTTAACCCACGTCTAGCTCGGAGAAATTGAGAATAATTATGAGAATAATTTTATTCTCTTCACAAAATTTGCGAAGTTGATAGGTCACGAGGGACTTGTGGCCATCAACAAAAAATAATTCTGGCTCTTTGATGCCATGTTTCTCTACCCAGTCATTAAAAATATTGACCATGAATTCATAGAATCCTTTGGCTGTCATCCAGCCGCTGTCGGCGACACCAGCACCCCAATCTGAGGGGACTGACTCAAGAATGGTTTTAGGAACCCGAACATATTTGAAGATTACTGTGGGAGGGAGGATTTCCCCAGCAGCATTGATGGTCATTCGGACAGTCAAGCACTCCTTTTCATTGGTGCTTACCAAATTGTAAACATCTTTCATGCCCCTTTCGCATAGGACTTTGGTGCTTTTGGGATTGACAAAAAAGGCAGCTTTATCGGCGTTGAACACTCGTTCAGGATCTTATGATTTACGTCGAATAGACACGGGTGCCCTTTGTAGGCCATGATTAATCCTAGGATATGTTCAGGAGGCCACTTCTTGGCCGCTGTAGTTTAAGTTGAATCATTATTTTGAGAGGAGTCGTCACGGTTCCTCTTGTTGGTCGTTTTTTTAGGTTGAAGAGCATTAGCATTTGGTTGGGTACTTGCCTTTCTCACGACATTCAATATTACTTTTCCTGGTGGCAGTGCACTTTCATCATTATTATTATGATGGACGAAAACTACTCGCGGACGATCTTGTTGGTCTTGCAGTCGGTCCATCATTATTGTGAGAGTAAAATATAGTACAGAAGATTTAAAAGCTCGCGACAAAATCAACTCAGAAAAAATTCAGTAATACCTACGCCATAATCGCCATATTGGAAATGCGAATAAGGCGGTAGATGGTGAAACCCACTTTGAACAGAATAGTGCGGCCCGTCAAAATTTGATGGTAGATGGTGACGAACAGTCATCAGGTGGTCTACTTTGATCCAAATTTGATCGTATATCCAGGCCTTCAGAGACGGGCGAAAGATACTGAGCGCGCGACGGGTCACATAATGAGCCTCCACCCGAAATACGGAACTAGTGGCTTTTGGAGGGTTCCCAAAGGCCCATTGGCAAAACAACTAAAACATGTCTTCAGTTTTACATTAACTACCATTTAAATCCAAGGCATAGCCATCGTGATTCCTCCTTGTAAGTATTCTTACTTGAATATTTTGTCATTAAATTTACAAACTCATGCATATTTTTGAATTTAGAGATTTTGAATGAACGTACCTGAAGCTCCTGAATCGTACGTTGCACTAAAGCTGATACTCCTAAATTTCCAATCATGTGATAAATTTTCATTTTTAACTTTTATGTTAATATATTTTTCCAAGTTTTCATTTGTAATTTTTATGTTGATGTATTTTTCCAATTAAACTTTTTCCCCCTTAAAATTGATTTTTCTACCTCATTTTAATTTTAAGTCTCAATCGATTGTTCCTCAACCTTTGAAAATGTGGTTTGTAGATTCAAAATGAATATAATCAAGTAAATGCATATACAATTTTTGGGTAAATGATGAATTGCCCACGCAAAGTGGATTCAAAATCAACCCCCTTTCAGTTTATTTTAGAAGGGATTTCAACTTGTTGGACGCTGGGAGAAATACGTTGAAGTTAACGGAGAGTGTATCAAAAAACAATTATAAATTTATTTCGGATACTCTATGATGCTCTTGAATACAGTGCACTGTTTTTTTCGCACTTAACTGGTTTAGTTCATCTCCATAGTACGGTGGGTACGATCAAAATCGACGATTTTTTTATTAGAAATTGCCACTTTGGGAGGTCATACTAGATGAAAAAACTAAAGTTTTTTCCGTAGAACCACTTTCAAATCCGTGCAGGATCCAAGATGGCGGCCAAGCGCTTTCTTGAAGTGCTATATCTCTGTTGCTAATTGTCCGATTTTGATTTTCTTTTTTAAAAAGAGAACTAAAAGGGCTTAGAATATGAATAAATTATAACAGATTGAACTCGGCCAACAATTTGTCTGAAATGTTACAAAAAATTTTTTCTTTGAAAATTCCTAAAATTTCAAAGTAAAAAACTTTTAACTGAGCAGGAAAATTGATATTTTCTCTTCAGTGAAAGAGATGGATCTTAATCTCGCGTTTAATTTGATACCATACCATTTTTGTGCTACGAGTGGTTAGCCCGCGAGAGCCATTTAAGTGTAGCGCGATCGGCCGCGGCGCGCGATTTCCACCCCGCGTTCATGGCCACGGACGCGCTTCACGCGTGTAAAACGCGCTGTACCTCTCCAACCATTCGTTCGATTTTCAAACTTTTGGTCTCGTTTGAAAGCTACTATAAAGAACTTTTCAAATAATGTGCATTTCACATTTAACTTTAAATAATTTGCCATATTATGACAAAATACGTGAATTTTTTAATTTCAATCATCTTAGCAGCCGTTGATTTTTTGTTTCTGGGCGCAATTAGAGCCCTTTATTTTCTTGAGGTGGGTGGAGGATTTTCTGACCTTCAAAACGATACCAAAACCTTTTTTTTGTGACGAGTAGAAAACGCGTGAGGACGGTTTTGGTCGCGCGCTCGGGTAGAGGTTTGCCTCTCATGCGCCGTGCAACCTCGCGTCGTCGGCCCGCGTTCATGCGCTACAGAACTGGAATATTCGCTGTTTTTTGATCATTCATTGCAAAATTTTCATGAAAATTGTTAATTTTGGAAAATCCTTTCATACCCTCTTGAGACGAAATGAATACCTATAATAAAAAAAAATACTCTCGTTAACATGATAAATATGAAAAAATGTATAGCGAACTAATTACTATTCCTTAAGTTTTTATGAGATGAAGATGGATGAAACCGCAACAAATTTGATTCTTCATTTGATTCATTACACTTTTAAACGACGATATATTGCCGATAATCAGCATTCTCATAGAATTTTAGGAACGATTTCTACAATTTTCTCGCTTAGAGGCGAACTCTACTATTTAATTAAAATTGATCGCAAAATGAACAGCGGGCTTGGAATCCTTCCCTACAACCAAGTGCATAGTGCACGTGGAAAACTTTTCCGATGCAACAGCGGCGTTTTTCCCTCTTTCGTCCTCAAAGGCACTTCCAGATGCCTGTTTTCAAACCCTAGAAAAATATACCCGCATGTCGCCTCTATTTTTGGCGGTAAATGGAGGTTTTCTTAGCAGACGTAGGGGCGGATATCTGCTGCTGTCTCGTATTGGAGACGGTAGGAAAATATTTCTAGGGTTTAGAAGTAGATATTTGGAAGTGTTTTTGAGGATGAAAGTAGGAGGAACGAACGCCACTGTTGCATCGGAAAAATTTTCTACGCACTGCATGTACTTGGTTTACCGTCCTTACTACGAAAAAGCAGCAAATAAGCCCCTGCATCTGCTGAGAAAATTTCTATTTACACCAAAAATAGGGTACTTCGTAATTTGCCCCCCCCCCCCATAAAAGATGCATTAAAGCAGCACACCCTTTGCGCTGCTGACCAGGTAAGGTATGTTTGGGAACGCGCTTTGCCTCCAGAAAAAGAAATTCCTGGTCGTGAGGAGTACGAGTTGATCGAAAAGAGAGAAAGCTGGTCACTCATCTGGTCAAATCTTCTTTCCATTTGGAACGACTGCCGGGAGATTGTTAAATGCAATTGCAAGTGTGTCTGCACAAAGAGATGCTCCTGTGTTAAAGCTCAAGTTCAATGCACTTTCATCTGCACGCAGTGTTCTGGAGGTGCTCATATTAGTCATTGCAATAATAGTTTAACAAAATTTATTATAAATTGATCGAATTTTAAAAAAAATCCTACTAACGCGGAGTACATCGTCGATTAGGGTGCGGCTTATTTTCATATTGTCGGAAAATCGACGAGGTCCGGGTGGCAATCGATGATACCTATGAAAATAATAGGCTGTATTAAATTTGAGCCAATTTGAAGCTTTTTTAGCTGATGCTCAAAGGGATCAAAACTAAGGGGCAAAATTACATTGGTTTAAATGGGCCGAAAAACGCCTGATCCGCGCAAATGCGTTTTTTGGATCTAAAATGCGTTAGAATGAAGAAAACCTGACCAACTCTTAGAGAGGCATCTATAGTCTGTCCCAGATACGAAGAGCTCTGGAAAATCGGAATAATTTGCACGATGTAGAAGTAAGGTATCGTTCGTTCTATTGATACCCGTCTAATCACCGAGCCAAGCCCGCACCGCACAGAGGGCTGGTTACGAGCTCCGCGGCGCGGCGGCGCCTTGCGTCGGGAATCCGCTCCTGGGTCCCGGGGAAAACCGGCCTCGTGCATCGCGTTAGTCCAGACGAACGCTATCTAGCTTCTTATTGGTGGATGGTAATCAATCAGCGTTTGGAACCAAAATCTGGGAACAATACATGCCATGTTGTTAACAGTCTCAAACAACGGATACCCTCCGAACTACAGCCACGGTTCGTTTGAGTAAAAGTTATATGAAATTGTCTATCACTCAAAAAGTCTTTTCGGATTCGAAAAGTAGAGTGAAAATGGAGTCTTTCTAGCTAAAAATGAAAATAGGTTGTTCGAGCTCCTGGAGAAATATATCGTTTTTTGTATTGTTTAGGGCTTATTAGAGGGTGATACGAAAATTGAATCAAATTTCGTGAATGTTTCTGTTTTAATTTCTAAACTAAGATAGCTATCAAAATGATCTTGGTTTCATTTTAAAGCTGGTGTAATTTGCCGTCGATTGAATGGTCTGAAAGCTAATTTTGTCAAAAATTGACAAAGTTATGATAGCTTGAATAAAGGGTATCCAAAATAAGCTTACTTGTTTTCCTTACCGAGTAAGGCTCTATTTTTTCTTTTTTTCCCTTCAAGACCAAAAACACTAGAGTCAATCTGTAAAAATTACAGCATTTGT